TACTCATTTGAAAGAAACTTTCATATAAAGTTTAATATTACAAGAGGAATTTCTCGAATGAGTTATAAACGTTATGAAAATAGGTACTTACCTTTAAACATAATTATATTCTTAACATTATAAATTCTAAATAACTTTACATCTTAAATTTATATCAGGTCATTTTTTCTTGCCCTATTTCGTCACATACAATCATTATCACGTCGTGGATGTTGGCAAACTTCCTTTGAGTTCACTAAACTTTTACTTTCTTTGGATCCGATAAATGATCCTTTATGTACGTTGCGTTTTATTGATTATGTTGGATTAAAGGCTCGTCAATATTCGTATGTGCTATCTTTGCCAAATGATTGGAATTATCATGATTTACAAAATTGGCCAAATTTTGCTTATTCTGCCGCATTGGCTCAATTTCAATTGGAGCTACAGAAGGATAGCAAGAACCCTGTAAATATTTACTATTTAATTATTATATTAATTAGTTAAATTTAATAATAATTAGCAGATTAATCATTGAACTTTCTAAAAAAAATTTATTATATAGAAAAATGATGTTAGCACAGCAATGTTGGAAAGGGCTGTTCTATACTTTCCTTCAATGGTACTGTTTTTGGCCGAAAAATGTGATATTCAACTTGATTCTGATGTTGCCGAGGATCCGTTTCTTCAAGAAACGTATGTATGACAATTTATAAGTAATTTATATATTACACTTTATTACAGTCATTTAAACATTATTATTTATTTTATTTTATGTTTGGATAAATTATTCGAAACCTTAATTACAGACCAACTTCAGACTATCTATGTTTATTGATAGATCTTTATGTGGATCTAGCTTCACCATTATGGGCACAACCTGAAGTACGTTTCAGTAAAACTCTTACTTAACTTTTATAAGTGCAAACGTTAATAGAATTATTATTTAGGTTATTAGTTGGCTACAAACTGCTTTATTCAACGTATTTGTGAAGCAACAAATTCCATCTTATAAAGGTTTGTAAATATACTTGATGTTTTTGTTTTTGACTTTAAAATAAACTAGAATAAATCATTGAACATATAATTTGAATATATCATATTACATTTAATGTATCATTTAGCTTGTTTAACCAATGATGAATTTAATGAAGCTTTTGATCACGGAAAAAATATCCGGGAGAATTTATACAATGATCAAATTCCCTTGGATTTTAGTCGATATATTGTCGTTTCAGGTATATTATTATCATAACGTTTATAACTCATTCGAGAAATTCCTCTTGTAATATTAAACTTTATATGAAAGTTTCTTTCAAATGAGTA